AATTAAATCGTCATGCAACTTCCTAGCCTTTTCACATATGATCGCTTTAGAGATGCTATCTCCTGCTATCTGTTTTTCGTTTATCCACACCAATAACAGTCTCTCAACATCTTCTATCACTTGTGATCTCTGTTTCGAAAACAAAGTTGCACCTTTAGCAAGAACAGCTTCCTTGATTGCCGTTTTCTTGCCCACAATAGTAGCGATGGTTGATTGGGGTTTTGTGTACAACCTGGCCAGCTCGGAGACACGCACTCCACTTTCATACTTAGCAATGATCTCTTTCTTCATATCCATAGTAATTCTCATTCTTTTTGCTGTAGGGTTGGCACTAGAAGATTTCTTGGGGCCCATGGTGACTTATTTTGCAGGTGCAATCACTAAAAAGGCTGTGATATGAAATGTTCCGATTGTATGCTTGGAAGCGACTGCAGTGGCTGGCTTGTAAACACTGGCACCCATGGAACAAGTGAGGCGGGCTCAGGCCGCACGTGGACGCGTCTCGAACGTATCACATTGAGCAAGTTTTTTAGCACTAGCCGAGGCAAAATTTTTGCGTTAAAATGCATTGCTAGGCGGATTTAACGTTATGCGATGCATTCGTTAGGCGAGGGTCCACTGTATTTCCATTACTATGGCCCTATTTTACAGCTGCTTCCAGTCCTGAAACCTACCCAAATCATCTCTATCTCAACAGTATGTCTTCCATTCTATCAAATGATACTTAAACGGTCAAAGTTTTCCTTTTCCCATTATGCATTACAGAGGGCAGGATTTTTTTTTTACTGTGCACACTCACCTCAATAACCCCTCCTCAGCCCTTTGGATAATACCTTTAGTAACCCTGCACCTCTTCCTAACCTCCAAACACGAATTCTCTTCATAATATTCATACCACATGTTGCCCTCAAACACATCTCTACTGCCTCCAGCCTCCTCCTAGCTGCAACATTCATAACCCATGCTTCACACCCATATAAATGTGTTGGTACTGGTATATTCTCATACATTTATCTTTTTTCCTCCATGGATACAGTTCTTTATCTCCTCAGATGCCTCAATTCATCCACAAACATTTGCAACTTCTCTTCAGAATCTCCCAAAAGCATCATCAGTTAAAACAATTTTATAAGATTCTTTATCTTTTAATCTCATACCTTTCCCCAACACCCTCACATTCACTTCTTTTACAACATACATAATTATATAAACTAGGTAGTAGGTTGGTAGACAGCAACCACCCAGAGAGGTACTACCGTCCTGCCAAGTGAGTGTAAAACGAAAGGCTGTAATTGTTTTACATGATGGTAGGATTGCTGGTGTCCTTTTTTCTGTCTCATAAACATGCAAGATTTCAAGTACGTCTTGTTACTTCTACTTAACTTAGGTACACTACAATACATGTACAACATGTATATACCACACCCCTTGGGTTTTTGCTTTTTTTCTTTCTTTTCTTGTTCTTGTTTATTTCCTCTTTCCCCAGGGGGAAAGTGGAACAGATTTTCCTCCGTACCCATGCGTGTTGTAAGAGGTGACTAAAACCCGGGAGAAAGGGGCTAGAAACCCCCTTCCCCGTATATATTACTAATGTAAAAGGAGAAACTTTCGTTTTTCCCTTTTTGGGGCCACCCCCCCTCGGTGGGATACGGCCGATGTGTTGAAAGAAAGAAAGAATAATTAAAAAGAAAACCAGTGCAGCCAAAAGCTACGTGCCATTTTTTTTCTCGACATCCTTTTTTTTTCCTGCGGTGAAAAAGAAGGGGTTGGCAGGCCCTTGATCTTGATCCCTAAGGTTGAAAAAAATAATCCACTAATAATCTGGAATCAGGATACATACAGGTCGACAAAGTTTTGGTTTAAATTCCCTGTATTTAAATTTGTTTTTTAAAATTTACCTCTAAAAGTCTTGAATAGAAAAAAACATTTCCCACAAGGACATATTGTACCTTTATTGTAGAAAATGCTTCACTCAGATGACTTTACAAAGACACGGGCGGGAGCACCAAAATATAAATTTGCAGTCAAAAAATGTTTGGAGTGAAATTCTGGAAAGACAGCTATTACATGAATAATTGAAAAAGTGTTTCTTCTTCGAAAAAGGATATACTGTGTAGAAAAACAAAAAGAGTACCCCATAAATTTAAAAGTTTAAAGGTTGTATATATAACTAAAGCTACCCTTCAATTTACCTACTTCAATGAAACATAACCTCCCCCCCTTTCTTGATAAGTTGCAATATAAAGCAAAATAAAGCAATTTAACCAAATTAAAGGGATAAAAATAATCCAACAACAACATTTAAAATCTGATTTGAAAAACAGGATTTAAAAAGATATTGTACAAACGTTAACGATCAAAGCTGTGGGTTTACTAATACAAAGTAGCTAATGGGGAAATTTCTAGACATAATTCATTAATATTAGACAACCAGCTGCCATGTATCATGCAAGGTTTAATAAAGTGGGAGTACAGGGGAAAAATTGGTTAATGGTGCATAAATTTGATATCAAAATTACCCCAAAGTTTACAGTTAAACTATTATGAAAGATTAAGGGTAAGGGTATTAAATAGAATTCCAGGAGCAGAGAGGATTTAGGAAAGGTAGGGGATGTGTAGATCATGTGTTTACATTGAAGCATACAAGTGAACAGTACTTAGATAAAGGTAAAGAACCATTTGTTGCATTTAGGGATTTAGAAAAAGCATAAGGAAGCCTTGTGGGAGATACTGCTGAAGTAAGGAATAGAAGATTTTTTATTTTTTATTATCACACTGGCCGATTCCCACCAAGGCAGGGTGGCCCGAAAAAGAAAAACTTTCACCATCATTAAACTCCATCACTGTCTTGCCAGAAGGGTGCTTTACACTACAGTGACAAGTTTTCATGTGGAAAGTGAAGCCCAGGTTAAGGTGTATAGGAGGGAGTGGAGACTATTTTTCAGTGAAAGTAGGACTTAGCCAGGGATGCAAGGTGTCTAAGTCCTATACTCCCTTGGGTTGTAAAAGAAGTGAATACTAGAATGTTGGAAAGAGGTGAGGAATTAAGAGATTTGATACAAAGTGCGAGTTATCACAGTTTCTCTTTGTTGATGACAGTTATTTTGGGGGATCCTGAAGACAAGTTGCAGATATTAACCATATCTGCAACATCTGCTACACTGCTTACCTGTATATTCTATCCAGCTATGCATTTTCTAAATTCATAAATACAATAAACTGTTCTTAACATTTTTTAACCCCTTTCAGGGTCCAAGAATTTCCCCCCAAAATTTTATTTTTTAATGAAATGGTAGAGAATCTTTTTCTGAAGGTAATAAAATAAGAAGTATGAAATTTGATGGAAAATTGATGAAATTACACTATTGCGAATTTTACTGCATCAGCATCGACAATTTTGCCCACTTTGACTCCTATTTAGGCCAATTACATTATTCCAGTCATCCAAATTCTTAGCTATTCCACTAGTATTACTTCTAATTTATCGACTGAGCACAAGAAACTGCCCAATAAACTATTTCAACTACCCAATAAAGTGATCAGAAATTGGTAATTTAGCCAATTTCACACAAAGTTCAAAATATTCCAATTTCAAAACAGGGTCCAGAATAAACAATGCAGGCATTTCTGGCACTAAAATAACACTTCCTCTGTTTATTAGTTACATTTCCAGGCTTTACAAATGAATTCCATTTTGATTTTTTATTTACGTAAAGAATTTTTATTCACACCAAAAAATAGAAGATTCACTATTATGAGATATTGTAAGAATTGTATAAATAATATCAGTGCATTCGTGAACATATATCAGATCCATCAGTTGACATGTATTGGACTCATGACATCACGTTTACTCTTGAACATCGGCAAATATTGAACATTTTTACTACGTTGATCTCAATTTCAAGCTATTTTCAGTACTAAAACCAATCAAAATCATTTCTATATCTGTAATATATCTTCCATTCTATCAAATGAGACCAAAAAACTGTTAATACAACCGTAAAAGCCATACAAAAATACACCACAAAGTTGGCGTTTTAATCCAAAAACACCTGCAGAATTGCATGCTGCAGGATTTGTTTTATATGGTGCACACTTACCACATACTGTAGATGCAATCTCTCATATCAGGCCCAAATTTACTGCTCACAATTTATATGAGTGAGCCGAGCTCATAACGTAGAACTACGGCTTGGACCCCTCAAAGGGTTAAATACTTAGTCTACACATTCCCTATCATTCCTAAACCTCCTTGCTCCTCTGTAAACCTACATTCTATTTTGCCCCTAACTCTTCCAATAATAATTCTACCGTAAAATTTGACTGTCAGCTTCGACCATTAGTCAGTAACAATGGTTACTGACTAACGGTCGACAACATTCAATGGTTACACCTTGTGATATAACAGGTTTCACTGTGCCTCCATGGGTGGCTCTGCTGCTCTCATAGCCTTGGGCAATGCTCAGTTCAAAGCAGGAAAATCATTGCAAATTAAATATTTCAAGCTACTTCTGGGTTTGAAACCGACCAAACTCGCCTCTGTTTCGGTAGTATGTCTTCCATTCTATCAAATAATGCCAAGAAACAGCCAATAAAATCATAAAAACTTCAAAGTCACTATTTGGAACCAACACAAGGCCAGAGATTTGCTTTCCTCATCATGTACTGTATGAGGCAGAATTTTTATATATTGTGCACCCTCACCATACAGACTTATTCTTTCATGTCTAGGCCAAAATTTCCCACTCACAGCCTATTTGTGGGCACTGTGGTTAAAACAGATCTACATGAGTGGCACTATCATCTATTACGTAGATCTACACAAGACACTGAAAGGGTTAAACATAAATTCACTTAAAGTCTTCTTTCTTTCAATGCACCAGCCATATCCCACCGAGGCGGGGTGGCCCAAAAGGAAAAACAGAAGTTCTCTGTTTACATTTAGTAATATATACAAGAGAAGGGGTTACAGTATCTTAACAAATTTTTCCACAAACCTCCTCTCCTTTGTAGTTAGTAAAGGTGGATCTGGGGTTTTGATTGAAGATAATGTCATCTATGCGATAAGATTTATTATTGTACCTAGTGAGAACGATACAGCCGACCAATGCCCGTACAGCCATATTCTTGAAGTTAGACCTGTGCATCTGGTGCAAGTCAGCCCTTGAAATGAAATTAATAACATTATAATCTGTATCTCTGTAGCTACCACTGTCAAGATTATCACTAAATGTATGATGTCACTATTCTAAGTTTTCAAAAAGGCATGTGCAGTCTCTCCTCACTTAACAACGTACTTCCATTCCTAAGAGTAGGTCAGTAAACAAACTGGCTGTTAAGCGAGGAGCATACTATACTGGTAAAGGGTTTGTGTCAACCATCTTTAAATATTGGTTTAAAGTCACCTTTGCACTATTTATAACATTTTTAGTATATTTTTAAATGTTCATACAGTAGTGTACTGTATACTGTAATAAACAGAATATTGGAAATCAGCTCTAATATACATTACTTAGGTATGCATACTGGTCAGAGAGCCCATCGTAAGCCCGAGCGTTCGTTAAAGGAGTACGTCGTTAAGTGAGGAGAGACTGCATAGCATTCATATGCAGAGGGTCCTCTACATATAGAACTTCAGATATATAAATATCATTGCTTACTAGCAGGACCTTTGGGAACCAATAATTTTTCTAAAAGTCAATCCACAGGTGTTAACATTCATAAAAAGATCTAGTAATTTTTATTCGTAGATACATGTGCTGAATTTTTGCATATGCTCATTTTATGCATGCCAGACATCTTATAAGACAGGTTACAAAGGTTACTGAAACCCAAACTTAAAATTTAGCTCTGAAACTGAGCACAGGCTGGATGGACCCTTCAAAAAAAGACAAAAAAACTTATAAAACCAAAATGTATCAAAACCAGTAAACACCTCCAGAATTCAAGTCTGGCTAACTGGTTACCTAAAAATCCTTCATAAATGCTACTTTTTCTCACACCTAGACAGCACTTCAAATTCCAAAAACCACTCATTTCCACTAACAAGTAGCCTGCAAAGAGGCAGAGCCAGGAGCTGTGACTTCACCCCTGCAACTGCAAATAGGCAAGTACACCTCCTGAACTTTCAATCCTCCTTCATACCCTTTCCAACCATATAATATTTCCTGAACCTTTTTCCATCTACCTAATTTATACACTTTGTTCAACTTATCTTACTCCATCCTCTCTTAAGACCAATCTCAACAACCTCTCCTACACTCTGAGTTGTACCTTTAACCCTTTGACTGTTTTGGTCGTATATATACATCTTACGAGGTACCGCGTATGACGTATATATACTCATAAATTCTAGCGGCTTCAAATCAAGTAGGAGAAAGCTGGTAGGCCCACATGTGAGAGAATAGGTCTGTGTTGTCAGTGTGCACCATATAAAAAAATCCTGCGGCATGTAGTGCATAAGGAGAAAAAAAAAACTCCGACCATTTTTTTAAATTAAAATGCCGACTTTGTGGTCTATTTTCATATAGTATTTATGGTTCTATTCTCGTTTTCTTGGTCTTATTTGATAGAATGGAAAACATATTATGGAAATAGAGGTGATTTTGATTGTTTTACTATAAAAAGAACCTGGAAATGGAGCTCAAAGTAGTGGAAATGTTTGATTTTTTGCTGATGTTCAAAAGTAAACAAATTCAAATTCAAACTTTATTCTCTATAAGTATTACAATGCTGAGTTTACAGAATTTGGTTATTGTGTGGTTTACATGTAGTAAAATAATAATTACAGAGTGTACCACCAGAACGCCTAGCATGGCTAGGCATTTCGGGCAGACTTATATTAAATCTTGGGTTTTTAAAATGTTACAGAATTATGAGATAAGTTGGTATTATGGCTAAGTGACAAAATACTAGTTGTGGAGTTTGCAATGTGAATGCTTTTGTTTTGGCACTATACATAGTTTTCGTATTGGAGTATCACAGGCCAACTTTTGACTAGTTTAAGATTCATTATTTTAAGATTGAGATTGATATTTCTGTTTTGGTCAAATGGGTGAGTGAGTGTAAGTTGTGAACCAACCAGGTGGTATTCGTATTATTATTGACGGGGTTGTATCGGGAGATAAGATGTTTTTCTGATGGTATTTTGAAGGTGAATGAATGTGTCTGCAGTTTTGGAATTTTCAGGTAGGGTGTTCCAGATTTTAGGGCCTTTAAACATACATTAAATTTTTTTGTAAAGGTTTAGTCAGACACGGGGAATGTCATAGAGATGTTTGTGTCGGGTTTGTTGTGCCTGTGGGTTCTTCACAACTATAAAGAAAGCGTTTTAGGTCAAGGTTAATATTGGAAATTTAAGGTCCTGTAGATGTAGATTGCACAGTAGTAAGTGTGGATGTACTGAACAGGGAGTAAGTTTAGATCTATGAAGAGTGGGGGGGTGTGTTGCCAGGGATGGATTTAGTGATTATTCTTACTGCGGCTTTTGTTGGGTTATTATTGGCTTTAGGTGTGTTGCTGCAGTTGAACCCCAAGCACAGATAGCATAGGTTGAGTATGGATATATAATGAATGGTATAGTGTGAGAAGGGCAGTTTGCGGCACGTAGTATCGTATCTTGGAGAGGATCCCAACCGTTTTGGATATTTTTTTGGGTTATGTGTTGGATATGGGTGCTGAAGTTCAGGTTGTTTCGAGGTATGGGCCCTAGGAATATGCCCTCATTATGCCTGGAAATTTTAGTGTGTTGTCGATCTTAATGTTAATTTGCGCATCTCCTGCTCTGCTACCAAAACTAATGTAGTAGGTTTTGTCAAGGTTAAGTGTAAGTTTATTGGCTGTCATCCAAGCCGATATTTGATCAGCTCCTCATTAACAATGGTGTTGAGGGTTGCAAGATTGGGGTGAGAGATGACATAAGTCGTGTCGTCAGAAAAAGAGAATGGGGTTCAGGTGTCGAGATACGTTTGGAAGATCATTGATGTATATGAGGAAGAGCAGGGGCCCAAAGGACACTTCCCGGCGGAACTCCATATCAAGTGGCCGTGTTGTTGATGCTGTGCTTTAATGGTGACATACTGATACCTATTAGTAAGGTAAGATTTGAAAATGCAAACGCATGGCCTCTTATACCATAATGGTCAAGTTTGTGGAGTTAGGATGGCCGTGGTTACTGTGTCAAAAGCTTTTCTTAGGTCAATAAAAATTCCTAGTGAATATTCCTTATTTTCCAATGCTGTGTAAAGCAGATCTAACAATTTTATAATTGCATCGTTAGGTTTTTATTTTTCCTGAATCCAAATTGGCAGGGGTTGAGTATGTTTTGTGACGTTATAAGAATATAGTCTCCAGTGCACGAGTTTCTCAAAGATTTTGGATAGCAATGGTAAGTTTGATATTGGCCTATAGTTGTTTAAATCTGTAGGGTCACCACCTTTATGTATTGGTGTAACCTTTGCCGTCTTGAGTAGTTTCGGGAAGGTGCTAGCTTCTAGTGACTTGTTAAAAAGCAATGAGATAGTATGCGAGGGGACAGGGGCCACTCTCTTGTAAAATAGTGGTGGGACATGAGACAGATTCCCTGAGTTATTTTTAAGTGACTTTATAATCTCGGTGACTTCCGTGGCTCAGTTGGAGCAAGATAGAAGGAATTTGGGAAATTCCCCCTCTAGGTAGTCCCCGGCATGGGGATTGGTACGTGGGATTTTATTGGCGAGATTAGAACCTATGGTTGAGAAGAAGTCGTTTATCTGTTAGCTGTGTCGTGGGTTGCAGTGGTGTTTCATTAGGTTTAGTTAGGACAATATTCTTGTTTTTTTTTCAGTTTGTGGGTCCCTAGAATTGAGAGAGTGTTTTCCAGGTCTTTTTTTATATCTCCTCTTGTGTCAGTGAATCTACTGGAGTAGTATAGTTGTTTGGCTTTCTTTATTACTTTGGTGAGGACTGATGAATAGTGTTTAAGAGTATCTTTGTGCATTAAGCCCCTGTCTATATGCTTTTCATATTGGTGTTTTTTATCAATGGATTTCGAATGGTGCTGGTTAGCCATGGGCAACCAAGCTGTTTGTTTGTGATCTGTTTCGTTTTTATAGGACAATGTTTGTTGTATAGTCTAAGTAGTTTGTTAAGAAAAAGTCTGTCCAGTCGTCAATACCATTGGCCTTGGAGAATTTCTGTAGGCCAGTCAAAAGTCTCTAGGTCAGCTGTGAACTTCCTTATTGAGGCCTCATCATGGAGTCTAAATGAGACTTAGTTGTATTCAAGTGGTGGTTTACTAATGTTTGTCAAGAGGAAGGTAGGGTAGTGGTCTGTAGTGCTATCTGTGATTATCCCTGATTTAAGGGGGCTAGTATATTGGCCATAGTGGTCTATTATGGTTGCACTTGTTTCAGTGAGCCTGGGGGGTTTGGTTAGTTATTGTTGGTATGAGAAGTGTGCTATTCATATTGTTGATGAAATCAGTTACAGGCTGATCATCTAGTAGGCCAAGGTTTGATGTTGAAGTCTCCAGCTAAGAAAGGTGGTGCTTATTCATTTTTCTGTTTGTTATTAGTGCTTTAATTTCTCACTGAATTTGGGATGTTAGTGTGGGGTATCCGTAAAATGGCACGATTGTTATAGGCGTCTTAAGTTTTTTACAGTAAAATTAGCAAAAATGTATTCTCCATATTCATCACTAAAGCAATTGGTGCTGATACAAGATAAATTTGGGTTTGAGTAATAGATTGCAATACCACCCCCAACTTGGTATGGTCTGCAGTTGTGGATTGCTGTGTAATCCTGGTTTGAGGGTAGATTATCTATTGTGTCCTGTTTTAGCCAGGGCTCGTAAGAATAATGCAGGAGAAGGGTTTTTCTTTAGTGATTCAAGGAGTGCCAGGAGGTCATCATAGTGTTTGCTTAAGGACCTGATGTTGAGTTAAGTACTGATAGACTTTTTTCATTGTTTAGGATAGTGCTGGCTTGTGATGCTGTGTAGTAAGGCAGTTACTTTCCAATAGGTTTTGATTGTTTTTGTCCGATTATGTAGGTTTAGATCAGGGTCAACGTGATCAATCATCTTCTAGGTTTAAATTATGGTTATTTATATCCTGAGTTGTGTGTTGAGTTTTTAGTACTGATATCTGTAGTGGTGGGAAGTTTGGACAAGTATATAGCTATAGCATTTTGGTCATGTAGAGTATAGTCACTAATACACATAATGAATTGGTGTTGTCTATTTTTTGTGCTGGAATGAGCTAAAGTACAACTAGATAAACTAATAATATAAAAATACAAATTAAAAATAGCACAAGACTCTCACTTGTAATTGCACTAAGGTCTAAAGTAATGACTTTGGTATAGTCTATGTATTGACCTAGAGTGAGCAATAGTACAACTAGGTTTAATCTAATAATGTAGAAATACAAAATTAAAAATAGCACCAGGCTCTCACTAGTAATTACACTAGGGTCTAATATAATGACTTTGGTATGACTATGTATTGAGCTAGAATGAGCTACAGTACAACTGAGTTTAATCTAATGATATAAAAAAAAAGGGACAAGACTCTCATTTTAATTGCACTAAGGTGTTATATAAGTTGTTTACAAGAATTAGAGTATAACTAGATTTAAATTGACAAGATAAAATATACAAGTTAAGGTAGCAAAAGAATAAAAAAGTAAAAAAAAAAATATATGAGGTAGTTGGTACTAGTTTGCAAAGATAGTTAAGGGCCTTGAACAATAATATAATTGAAATATAACACTAATTGCAAAACATGATATAGTCACTAGATATGAAAACAATCTTAAGAGTAGGACTTACAATATAAAACTTATAATATAAAAATACAAATTGAAATGGTACTTGCAAGTCCAACTAGCCATTCTAATATGCAAATCATGAATGGGGTTGACATTATTTTACAATTTTTTATAATATGCAGTAGTCTGCATAACGTAAATCTTCTATTTTTGTTTTAATAAAAATTCAAAATAGAAAGCAAGAGTAATATCAGAGGGGCCTGGAAAGTGACTGAAAGAACAAAGAAAATGTTATTTAGAGCCAAGAATGTCTGCATTGTTGATTCTGAACCTTTTTGAAAATTGTCATATTTTCAATTTTCGTTTAAATTGGCCAAATTGCAAATTTTTTGGCCACGTTATTGGGTAGTTTTAAACAGTAAATGGGCAGTTTCTTGTACTCAATCGATAGAAAAAATGGATTCTAAAGAAATAGCTATAGGTTTTTGGGTTGACTGGAACAATGGAATTAGCCCAAAAAAAGGGCTCAAAGTGGGCAAAATCGCCAAATTTTTAAAATCGCCGAGGTCACTAACTCTGGCAGAGCATAATTCAGTCAGTTTTCCATCAAATTTCAATTTTTTGGTGTCTTTACATTCGGGAAAAGATTCTCTATCATTTCATAAGAATTTTTTTTTTTTTTTTTTAATTTTGCGACACCAGGAGACCCCTCAGGATTGGGGTTGCGACAGTCAAAGGGTTAATACCACCATACTTTTCCTAATTTCTTCACTCATCTTTTAAATAATAACAAACTGCACACTAATTTTAAATATGAGATATCCATTGCCTCCAACCTCCTCCTCAAAGAAAAATTCGAACATCATGCCTCACACCCACATGAATGTGTTCACACTAATATACAATAGAATATCCCCCCTTTTTGCATTCAATGATCAATATTTTTTTTCTTCATACAAATGCCTCTACATTTCACCTACCTCTTTTTAACCCCTTTTCTATTTTATGATTCGCTTTGTGTTTCATATACAATTCATCTTCTGACACATCCATTCCACAATATCTTCACATAATACTACACTAACTTCCTTCACATAAATAATTCTCCTTCCTTCAAATCTGATGTCCCATCATTCATGACTGCATTTTTTATAAATAGTATCTGAATCTCCTTAACTCTTTCTCCTGTATAAAAGAAAAACTTCATTTTCTCTTTAGGTAACCCTGCCTCGGTGGGATGCAACCAGTTTGTTGAAAAAAAAAATTTTTTAATCTCATTTACCATTGTACTCCCTCAGGAGCTCCTATAAATAATTCCCCATTTTTTTTCAATTTAATTGTTCTAATCACTTCACCATACTAACTCCCCACAAACCATGATAATCTCACTGTACTTCTACATCTCAAACACAATCAGATATGTACAACTATCCACCTCAGCCCAGTAGGGCCACACCATGCTTCTCCACACTCTTCACAATCACTGACATACACCAGCAGCCACAATTTAAGGTAAATAATATTAGTATTTCCATTGCATTTGTAGTCTTAAACAACAAAACAACATTATCATTTTTATTTTTGTAAGATCTGGATGTCTAAAAAAAAAAGCTGTTTGTCTGGGGAGGTAGGGGGGGGGGGGAACAGCCCATGAATGTAACCCTATTTTTCCCACTAGTTCTTCAGTTTATATAACAGATTTATCTAACACTGCATTTTCAGGAACATAACTACAGTGTAATATAAGGGTCTACTGTAATATATCTTAATTTCTACAACTACATGTACAAGGTATACAGGCCTAGCTGACATCAACGACATACTGCTACATAGAAAGATGCTTGTTATGCAGAGCATTTCAGGCAAATTAGGTCAGTTTTCTCCCAGGATGCGACCTACACCAGTCGACTAACTCCCAGGTACCCATTTTACTGATGGGGAACATAGACAACCGGTGTAAGGAAATACGTCCAATGTGTCTACCCTCACCGGAAATCAAACCCACACTTTCCCTGTGTGAAGCGAGAGCTCTAGCCACCAGGCCACGGGTCACTGTAACGATTATGGAAATGGTTACACAAGCAGCATTGGCATATTCTTTAATTGGCAAAACTTACAGTATATCATAACAGGTTTCAGTGCGAAGAATTCTATGAGACACATCAGCACACAGCATAATTCCTCCTTCTTGATAATTGACTGCAGTCACATATCCTGGCCATATTTCCAACCTACAACATTTTTAATCTTTTAATGAGAGGAATCAACATGACAAAAGTACCCAGTAATGTTTCTCTCAGTATTATATTCATGGAAAATACTAAATCAATTAAGTAATTTAGTGTTACATGACAGAAGTGAGAGATGATAAAAGAGGAAAACTGAACAGGTTTTGGGAAATATATTGGCAGAAAGGAGAAATTAGTCACAGTTGACATAGCAAATCGATATGAGTTGAGAAATTATGGAGCAAGTCCTCATTAACCTTTTAACTGTGTCCAGCATACTAGTAGCCAGGCAATGATGGTGCCCAACATACTAATACGCAAAATTGTTCATGCTTTCAATCAAATGTCACCTGGCAATATTTTTTGACCTTAGAAAAACATGTAAGACCAGGCAAGTCCAAACAGTGTGTCATGGTGTAACACTGTCTAGCTAGCACAAGTAAACAATGAAACTAGGACCTGATGTTCCACCATCAGCTTTCCTACCAGCAAATGTGTTTGAAAACTGCCAGGAAGATGTCTTATTCATTCCAAATTCATTACAATTTCATGATACTAACAGTGGAATTCGGCCAATAGGCACACTATGTAGATTTGACCATGGATAACCCAATATAGTCAAACAATGTGACTTATTTCCATATTTTGTTGAATATTACATCTTGAAATAATTGTAATATCATAAGACTTCTTTGTAAATACTATATGATTTACAGTGGTCTGGAAGGCACTCAGATGTCATGGACACACACAAATTGCATATGTTTATATAACCTAGGATATTCCCTCAAATCTATAAAATTAAACAACACACACACAGCCGTATCCCACTTTGGTAGTGTGACCTAAAAATAAAAAAAAAAAAAGTTTTTCTTTTTAAATTTAGTAATTTATACAGAAGGGGTTACCAGCCCCCTGCTCCTTCAACTCTAAATCATCATCATCTTCAATCAAACTGGACATATCCCACCGAGGCAGGGTGGCCCAAAAAGAAGAACGAAAGTTTCTCTTTTTAAATTTATTAACATATACAAGAGAAAGGGTTACTTGCTCCAGGCATTTTAGTCTCCTCTTATGACACTAATGACTTATGGAGGAAAAATTCTGTTCCACTTCCCCATGGAGATAAGTGAAAATAAACAAGAACTAGTAAGAAAATAGAAGAAAACCCAGAGGGGTGTTTGTATATACGTATATGCTTGTACGTACATGTATGTGTAGTGTGACCTAAGTGTAAGTAGAAGTAGCAAGACATATCTGAAATCTTGCATGTCTATGAGACAGAAAAAAAGACACCAGCAATCCTACCATCAGGTTTCCATTTCACATTCACTTGGCAGGAAGGTAGTACCTCCCTGGGCAGTACTACCATCTACTACCAACCAACTACCTAGGCCAAATTTTATTTTTTTTTTTGTTTAACACACCAAGGCAGGGTGACTCAAAAAGAAAGAAAAAACTTTCATCATTCAACACTTTCACCATTATTCATACATAATTCATACATAATCATAATGATTGCTGATGTTATGAATGAAAAGAAGTTGGATGTCATGGCCCTAAGCGAAACAAAGCTGAAGGGGGTAGGAGAGTTTCAGTGGGGGGAAATAAATGGGATTAAATCTGGAGTATCTGAGAGAGTTAGAGCAAAGGAAGGGGTAGCAGAAAGTTAAATGATCAGTTAGAAGGAGAAAGAGAATATGAATGTGTAAATTCAAGAATTATGTGGATAAAGTAAAGGTTGGATGCGAGAAGTGGGTTATAATAAGCGTGTATGCACCTGGAGAAGAGAGGAAGCAGAGGAGAGGAGAGATTTTTTGGGAGATGTTAAGTGAATGTATAGGAGCCTTTGAACCAAATGAGAGAGTAATTGTGGTAGGGGACCTGAAAGCTAAAGTAGGAGAAACTTTTTAGAGAGGGTGTGGTAGGGAAGTTTGGGGTTTCAGGTGTAAATGATAATGGGAGCCCTTTGATTGAACTTTGTATAGAAAGGGGTTTAGTTATAGGTAATACATATTTTAAGAAAAAGAGGATAAATAAGTATACACGATATGATGTAGGGCGAAATGACAGTAGTTTGTTGGATTATGTATTGGTAGATAAAAGACTGTTGAGTAGACTTCAGGATGTACATGTTTATAGAGGGGCCACAGATATATCAGATCAATTTCTAGTTGTAGCTACACTGAGAGTAAAAGGTAGATGGGATACAAGGAGAATAGAAGCATCAGGGAAGAGAGAGGTGAAGGTTTATAAACTAAAAGAGGAGGCAGTTAGGGTAAGATATAAACAGCTATTGGAGGATAGATGGGCTAATGAGAGCATAGGCAATGGGGTCGAAGAGGTATGGGTAGGTTTAAAAATGTAGTGGTTAGGTGTTCAGCAGAAGTTTGTGGTTACAGGAAAGGGGGTTTTGCGGAGGAAGAGGAGCGATTGGTGGAATGATGATGTAAAGAGAGTAGTAAGGGAGAAAAAGTTGCTTATGAGAAGTTTTTACAAAGTAGAAGTGATGCAAGGAGGGAAGAGTATATGGAGAAAAAGAGAGGGGTTAAGAGGTGGTGAAGCAATGTAAAAAGAGAGCAAAATGAGAGGTGGGTGAGATGTTATCAACAAATTTTGTTGAAATAAGAAAAAGTTTGGGTGAGATTAACAAGTTAAGAAGCCTAGGGGAACAAATGGATTTGTCAGTTAAAAAAGGAGGGGAGAGTTATTAAATGGAGAGTTAGAGGTATTTGGGAGATGGGGGGAAAAATTTGGGGAAAATTGTTAAATGTTGATGAAGATGGGAAGCTGTGATTTCGTGTATAGGGCAAGGAGGAATAACATCTTGTGGGAGTGAGGAAGAGCCAGTTGTGAGTGTGGGGGAAGTTCGTGAGGAAAGTAGGTAAAATGAAAGGGGGTAAGGCACCCGGGATTGATGGGATAAAGATAGAAATGTTAAAGCAGGTGGGATATATTTTTTTGGAGGGGTTGGTGAATTATTTAATAAATGTATGGAAGGGGGTAAGGTACCTAGGGATTGGCAGAGAGCATGCATAGTTCCTTTGTATAAAGGCAAAGGGGATAAAAGGAGTGAAAAAAATTATAGGGGGATAAGTCTGTTGAGTGTACCTGGTAAAGTGTATGGTAGAGTTATAATTGAAAAAAATTAAGAGTAAGACGGAGAATAGGATAGCAAAATGAACAAGGAGGCTTTAGGAAAGGTAGGGGGTGTGTGGACCAGGTGTTTACAGTGAAACATATAAGTGAACAGTATTTAGATAAGGCTAAGAGGTCTTTGTGGCATTTATGGATTTGGAAAAGGCGTATGACAGGGTGGATAGGGGGGCAATGTGGCAGATGTTGCAAGTGTATGGTTGAGGGGGTAGGTTACTGAAAGCAGTGAAGAGTTTTTACGAGGATAGTGAGGCTCAAGTTAGGTATGTGGGAAAAAGAGGGAAATTTTTTCCCAGTAAAAGTAGGCCTTAGACAGGATGTGTGATGTCCCCGTGGTTGTTTAATATATTTATAGATGGGGTTGTAAGAGAAGAAAATGCGAGGGTTTGGCAAGAGGCGTGGAGTTTAAAAGATAAAAAAACACACCAAAGTGGGAGTTGTCACAGCCTGCTCTTTGCTGATGACACTGTGCTCTTGGGAGATTCTGAAGAGAAGTTGCAGAGATTGGTGGATGAATTTGGTAGGGTGTGCAAAAGAAGAAAATTAAAGGTGAATACAGGAAAGAGTAAGGTTATGAGGATAACAAAAAGATTAGGGATGAAAGATTGAATATCAGATTGGAGGGAGAGAGTATGGAGGAGGTGAACGTATTCAGATATTTGGGAGTGGACGTGTCAGCGGATGGGTCTATGAAAGATGAGGTGAATCATAGAATTGATGAGGGAAAAAGAGTTTAGTGGGTGCACTTAGGAGTCTGTGGAGACAAAGAACTTTGTCCTTGGAGGCAAAGAGGGGAATGTATGAGAGTATAGTTTTTTCCCAAAGCTCTTATATGGGTGTGGGAAACGTGGGTGATGAATGTTGCAGCGAGGAGAAGGCTGGAGGCAGTGGAGATGTCATGTCTGAGGGCAATGTGTGGTGTGAATTTTAATGCAGAGATTCGTAGTTTGGAAGTTAGGAGGAGGTGCGGGATTACCAAAACTGTTGTCCAGAGGGCTGAGGAAGGGTTGTTTAGGTGGTTCGGACATGTAGAGAGAATGGAGCGAAACAGAATGACTTCAAGAGTTTTATCAGTCTGTAGTGGAAGGAAGGCGGGGGTAGGGGTCGGCCTAGGAAGGGGTTTGGGGGGAGGGGGTAAGGGAGGTTTTGTGGTGCGAGGGGCTTGGACTTCCAGCAGGCATGCGTGAGCGTGTTTGATAGGAGTGAATGGAGACAAAAAGGTTTTTAATACTTGAGTGCTGTTGGAGTGTGAGCAAAGTAACAATTTTTGAAGGGATTCAGGGAAACCGGCAGGCCGGACTTGATCCTGGAGATGGGAAGTACAGTGCCTGCACTCTGAAGGAGGGGGGTTAATGTTGCAGTTTAAAAAACTGTAGTGTAAAGCACCCTTCTGGCAAAACAGTGATGGAGTGAATGGTGGTGAAAGTTTTTCTTTTTCGGGCCACCCTGCCTTGGTGGGAATCGGCAGTGTGATAATAATAATAAAAAATCACTGTCTTTGCAGAGGCACTCAGATACGACAGTTTAGATGTCACTCCAAACGCCAAACCCCTCCTTTAACCCCTTGACTGTTGCAACCCCCAATCCTGAGGTGTCTCCCGGTGTCGCAAAATTTCAAAAAAAAAAAAAAAAAATTTTTTTTTTATGAAATAATGGAGAATCTTTTCCCGGTTGTAATGACACCAAAAAACAAAATTTGATGGGAAAACTGAAGGAATTATGCTCTGTGAAGTTAGCGACCTCGGCGATATTACAAATCGGCGATTTTTGCCCACTTTGAGCCCTATTTTTGGCTAATTCCCTTGTACCAGTCGACCAAAAAATCATAGCTATTTCTTTAGAAAATCCATTTTTTCTATCGATTTAGTAAGAAACTGCCCTTTTACCGATTTTACTACCCCAAAATGTGGTCATAAATTTGCAATTTG